TTGTTGAGGAGGGTAGCTCCCATCATTTGTTCTCTGAATTGACTTTCTGATCATATCCAGAGCTTTGATATATGAATGTTAACATTAGGTGCTTACTGTTCAATGTGTTTAATAGCGACTTTTTAAATTTGACATATCAAAACAGGAGTTGTTCAGGTACACCAAAGAACAAATGGCCTTATCTGTGTATATCCACTGCTGTTCTAGCCCAGGCTCCCTGGGAACTGCTACTGTGTAGAGGGGACCATCTCTGGGCCAGGTGCTAAAACACTCCGATTGTAGTGCTTACTAGACTGCTCCATTCAGTTGATGTCAGAAGTGGTGGATGACTGCATGAAGACTTAGTTGCCTTTTCAAATAGTGAAAGTGAAATATCTGGGACAGTGCTAAGGGTAGAAATAGCCATGGAAAGTAGGGATTTCAATGCCTTTGTACCTTTCAGATGGGTTTGGAGCTCCCTGTTATTTGGTCCCCTAGGAAAACAAGACAGTGATTCTCACTGCAACCCTGGAATCTATTTATATTACTTCCAAACATGTATTTCCTAGCAGCTGTTCTTGAGTCTGTGTTGTCTAGCCTCTGGCTGAGTCCCGGATGCATCTATCTGTTTCATTCCCTGTTCTACTACTTGACAGGGTTTTAAGAGGCTACCATGTGGAAAAGTCAACCAGAGGCTGCTTTCTGCATTGAAGGGTCTGGTGTAATTGATGCTGTCTGTAATACTGAGCTTAGACTTGGCATCTTTGAGTACCTGATGTGCATTGGCTACAGTGCCTGTCTTTTAAACAGCAACTTCCAGCTAGGCCTTAAATTAGTTAAACTGTGTTCATATTCTTGTACTTTTTTCTTTAGAATCTAAACCATGTTTTCAACTCATCAAGTAAGATTGATAAGAATGTTTCTTCAGAACAGAAGGGGATTGGAAATCAAATGATAAATCATGCAATTGTCAATAAACTTCTGTATTTTGTTACTTCATTGTGTGCTGTAGATGTCTGCTTTTATAAATTAATCAGGAATGTAGTTCAACATAGATACTGGTGAATTTTGTTATCTGAAATTTGGAAAAATTCCACAAATCTTTTCAGGCTTTCTGTAGTGGGGAGTATGCTTTGGAGATTGACATCTTGCTCAAGGTTGCTCATGACACAAGCACTTCTTGGTGTTCTGTACAACGCAGGGATGCTGTTATGCTCTTCAGCAATACTGTAAATAGACTTAAATATTTAAAATATTTGAATATTTGTCTATTTGTAGAATAGTGTGGTAATTCCCCCTAAGCAGGGGATGCTCTTTATGTGGAGAAGTCAAACTCCCACTTTACACTTGTGGTGACTGCATAAAACTCTCCTCATGTGCCAGACTGTCTTGGCTGACAGCATGGAGGGAACTACAGCTACAGAAACTCCAGTTCGGGTGAGTTGGACATGGTGGCCTCTCAGCCAGGGTGTTCTAAATCTGCTGCATTCATCCCTTAATTTGCAGGCTGTGATGCCCCACAGAGCCTCTCAGCCAGCACTTATTTCTACAGTGACTCTCTATTTTGCACTGAGAGTTTTGCCATTTACGGTTCAGAACTCCTCTCTCAAGCGTGCACAATGCTTTGGGTAGGATCTGTGAGAACTTGCGAATATCCTTGATACTAGCAACAAAGGACTGTCCTTCCTTTGAACTGCTGCCAACTACTAGACTACAGTATAGTCTTTTGCAACTCTATACATTACCTCATTGCTTTGCCCCTAGATTGAAGGCTTGTAGCTTAACCACTTGGGATAGAATATTATCCAGGTTACTGTTTCAGTCTTGGAAGGAAAATGATGATATCTATTATAATAAGCGTAGCTTGGAAAGTGGTCAAAGGATGACTTGCTTGCTTTCGTAAGTCATGTGTACAATTCTAAGGATAGCTGCTGCTTAGTTCCTAAATATGTCGCTATGCCTGTCTGGTAGAAGACAACGCTGTTCTAATGAGCAGTCCAGCTGCAACGTGTCATCCCTCCTGATCCTTGTGAACCTGATTAACCCAGATCAGTGTGTGCTTTCCCCTAGTAAGGCTGCTGGCTTCTGTGCAATACCTTTTAAGCAAGCACTGTCTGATATTGTCCTTCTGTTACATCACCGCGTAACCATTGATAAAACAGCCCACTTTGCACTCTTAATGAGGAGATTAATGTCCTGTGTCAGCGTTTTAAGTAGCACTACTGTGGTGTTTTGAAGGATTTATAGAGGTTAATCAGACTTGGAATATCTAAAGTACATTCTTGGGGCTTGCTTGTTTAGTGAGAAGTTTCTCCGAAGTGAGCTATGGCATCTCAACAGCAGGTGTCAAGCAAGAATCTGGAAGATGAACAAAGTGAGGGTGCCTTTCCTGTCATAAGTGGAGTAATGAAAAAAGCAGTTTAACAGGAGTAACAGGAAGCTGCTGATGTGTCCTGTTGCAGGAAGGCTCATTCGCTGCCTCCTTACTGTTGTTACATCAGCTTCAAGCTTTATTAAGCTGAGCTGAAAGACGTGAGCAGTCTTTTAAGAGCAACTCTTTGCCTGTAAGAGGCTTTAGTAGAATTCTCCCAACCCAAAGATGGTCTTTGTGCAACAAACTGCAAGGTTGCTAGAATCTCCCCGTATTTTCAGGTTATATGAAAAGGCTTTTAAAAGCAAGTGCAGTACGATGGTATCTAAAAAACTTCTGTAGCCATCAGTAGTTCTCCTCTGAGGCGGCAAATGTAGGGAATGCAGAGGAATGCTTTACAGTGAAACCGAGTGGAGCAGGGAGGGAGACTTCCAGTCCTGTGTCGTAAGCCTTGTTAACCGGTGGCAGATTTTAAGGGAAGTATGTCACAACTCATCAAAACAGAAGAGTAAAGTTTCTTTTCTGGTAATTTGGAAGTATATTATGGGATGGCAAACAGGAATGGCTGGCTTTCGACTTTTTTCCGTGAAGAACCAAGAACAGGACTTTCAGTGGGTATCCCAGCACTTGTTACAGGACCAACCCCACCGAGTTCAGCTGCAGCATTGTATAGTATATAAACTGGAACCGCTGATGACTTTCTGCCAGCCAGGCTGAAGTCACTGCTTTTAAGCCAGGTGTTGGTAGTATTGACACAAAAAATCAGCTCTGTTGAACATGTACAGAAGAAAGTATATGAGCCTCCAGCATGACCAGTATATAGTACTGCTGCATGTGGTTTTTCATCACATCTGGAAATTCACCATGGGATTTTTCCACTAAGAAAAAATGCAACTGCAGGATTTCAGCACTGAAGAGAAGTGTAGTGACTCGAGTCTGAGGGATGTACTTAAAGCACCAGTCTGACAGGAGTCTGATTTACCAGCTGAGTGAAATCACTGGCAAGGCCTCACACAGAGTACTGAGTCCACTTCTGGGCTCCCTAGCATGGCAGAGATGTGACTGGAGTGCTGAGGAGGGAGTGCAGTGACGGGCCAGAAAGGTGGTAAATGGACTCGGAGCATCTTTCACAGGAAGAGAGGCTGAGAGAGCTGGGGCTGTTCAGCCTGGGGAAGAGATGGCTCAGGGAGATCTTACCAGTGTGTTTAAGCACCTCCTGGGAGAGAGGAAGGACGAGGGAGCCAGACTCTTCTCTGGACAAGAGGCCATGGGCACAAATTAAGCCACACAAAATTCCACCTGAACACAAGGAAGCACTCTTTTACTGGGAGGGCGGTCAAACACTGGGACAGGCTGCCCAAAGAGGTTGTGGAGTCTCCATCTGTGGAGATGCTCAAACTTTGACCGGACGCAGTGCTGGACAACCTGCTCTGGCTGACCCTGTTTGAGCAGGGGCTGTTGGACTAGATGATCTCAGCAGGTTGCCACCAAACTCAAGGAGTCTGTGGTTTTGCAGTTCTGTGAATTCTCATCCCACCCCCAAATTTCTGCTGCATCACACTCCCAACAGGGAAATCTTTTGTCTGTGGTGTGAACTGAATTCACAGTGTAACTTGAAACTTAGATGTCACTCTGAACACATTCTCTTCAGTAAATCGGTTTAAGAAAACTTCGCTTTGACAGGTGGATTTGTCTTCCGTGACAACTACTTAAAATGTGACTTACTGGATGCTGTCAGTGCCTAAACTGCTTTCAATCTAATAGTGTTTATATTAAATGCAACTTGAGCAGAGCTGCTCTTTCTCTTAACAATTTGTAATAATTTACATAAGTCATTTCACTTCACCATTCCTTGTACTTGGCTATGCTAAAATTTGCTTCATTCTTAAAGCACCCTTTGTGCTTTTGTAAACTGTGTGTTTGTGAGCATTTTGCATAGCGAAAAGGGCAGCTGGGTGAGCAAAATCAGCCTCTAGCATTCATGAGTAAGAGCACCCTGGTTTAAAGGACAGAATTTCAGATCAAAACCTTTTATGGTTTTGAAGGCAAATGAATAGGCATGGCTTACAGAAGCATTTCCAGTAAGGTAATAAGCAATTAAGCTAGGCTTGTCTGCAAAAGGTAATCAATTTGATTAATTCAGTCTCCTGCTTAAGGAATAATGATGGTGTCACTTGCATGGATGCTGTAGTTTGTGAAAGATGCATGCTAACCCAGAGCAAGAGCTGAAACAGCAGGCTACCAAGGTATGTGAGTTAGCAAGTGGTGGTGTGCAGGATTCTTGTGATGGAGAAACAGTGGTGGACCAGGTAGGCACACCCGATGCCGGCAGTTTTGATGCAAGAGTGAAAAGCAGCTATCTAATGGCTTATGAACAAGCTTCAGCTGGATTAGTTTCACTTACTGTCATGTAGTTCTTAAAGTGCCCCATGCAGGTTTCTGTATGTTGGAGAATGCCTACGACCCATACAAGCAGACACCTTTCATTTGTGTGCCAGGCATAAGAAAGTGGAAATGTTCCCTTTCTGTAGACAATTCCCTTCAAGATTCCCTTTAAAGACGTTTAAAGTACACAGGCTAAAAATCCGCTTCAAACAGAAGTGATCAGTGCTGTGTCTGTCAGCCCTCATTGCTCTCACACTGCAGAGGTTCAGCTGGCAGAGCCTTCGTTTCCTGTTCCATCATCCAGGAGTGGTGCTGCATCTGCAGGGTCTCTGTCCTCCTGCTCCACAGGTGCTCCCTTTCTTGTTCTGTTCAGTGTCCCACCCTGGAAATCCAAAGAAGCCCTTAGTGACTGAAATGATACTGTTCTTCCTGTAGCTACAGCTGTGTCCTCGCCCTTCCCCTCACCTTCCTGCAAAAAAATACAGGCACCGCTAGCTTGATACAAGGTAAGACTACTATGCACTGCATCCATATTTTAGCAGATAGTTCTCTTTTTATGCAGTCCCATTTTTATGTCAGGGGAATTACTTATATACACACCCAGCAGCTATTATATTGATAAAAGCAACTCAGTGATGCAAGGCTATTCTTCACCTTTTATCACACTTACCTGTTTCTTGTCCACAACATTGAGGCTAATGGACGCAACAATGCATGCAACAGTGTTTGCCAACATAAAGACCATCATCTGTTGCCAGCGCCACAGGGGGATCTTTAATTCGCTAGAAAAAGCCAAAACAAGATAGGACAACTAGTCACTTGAAGATACTTAAGGCATCTCTCTACTTTCTGGCAGCATCACTGTTTGCAGAGACACTGCTTTCTTTTCAAACCACTCTACTAAAGCACTGTTGATGTCTCTGCTTGAAAAAAAAGAAAAAGCATTCTCACCTGGACCTTGTTCCTAGAATATGTCCAACAATCAGATTTGAAAGGCCAACTCCAATCATCTGCGCAGAAGTTGCAAGCCCCATAGCGGTCCCTAAAGTTGCCTGGGGGACCACAAGAGGTATGGATGGCCACATACTAGCCTGGTAGGAGTAATGAGAGGAATTAACTCAAAGCCTTGTTTAGAGGTGTTAGACGGTCATTGGATGAAAAAGGAATTATTCCCACTAAATAAACATTTATACTTTCTCTTCAAAAAATCTGGTATTTATCTCTCCCGGCCTATTGGCTGGTTCAAGACAGTTCCCCATCCTTTCCAAGCAGCCTGGGACAGCACAGACAATGCACGCTATAGCAACAGGAATAACCTGGCTCCAGATTTCTGAAGGGGCGTTAGACTCAAAGGAGATTCAGGTGTTACATTTGAGGTAAAAAAGCACTAAGAAAAGCACAGACAGATTCATGCTGCACACTCTATCAAATGGTCCCTTTACTCTGCTTTGCGTTTTGCTCCATATTGATTCTTCGGGGTTATTTGCTAGTAACCGAAGTCGGAAGACTTTGGACTGGGGAGCCAGTGACTTTAAACTGTGGCTGCTAAACCTGCTCACCGGGACACAGGAGCAGTGAAACGTGCCATCCAGGACACAGAAGAAGCACAACCACAAAGCAGCGGGTGTTGTGAACTTACAGCAGCAAAGGAGTAAGTAATCCCCAACCAGATGGTGGAGACTAACGGAGGAACAAACGTAAATGCCAGGAGAGCGAAGACCGGCAGAGTCAACGCAGCACAGCCAACAGCAAAGACACCTCTCAGTCCAACGTAGTCCTGGTAAAGGAAACAACAGAAGGCCCCTTACAAGGGATCTTTGCTTCCCACAGACCCGCAGCTGCGCCAAGGGGGCTGGCATGAGTGGCAGTAACAGGTCATTTCCTACTCGTTGATATTGTAGCAGACTAGCTATGACTAGTTCCTCTTGCATATGCCTGAACCAAGACTGAAACACTTGTCAGAGAATCATGTGTCCAGTATTCATGTGAAATGGCAGGCTTTAATAAAGGAGGTGGAAAACCACACCATTCATTACGCCCTGATGATTATGGAAATAAGGAAAGGAAGACTTTGACAAAACAGGAGCTGATTACACGCAGGTTGTCCTTTCCCCATCTACTTGCAAAGTTTATCCTGATCCTTTCTGTTCCCATCTCAGACTTCTCAAAACATACAGCCATTTACCATGGTTTGATGCTACTACAGCACATGTAAGGGACAGAGGGAAAAATGGGTTAACGTTAGTTCTTGTAATTTAATTCAGACTAAAGTGCATCTTGCAGTCTGCAGGGAATTAAAGGACCGCTTGTTCAGCAACAACAGGCCGAATTCTGGTTGAGGGGGTTGTAACAAGGACATTTCAAAAAAATTAGGAAAAAGTTATCTGGAAGCACTTCTGGTTTTGGGTACTCACAATTAATATGCCAGCTGCTGCGGAGAGAACAAGGGAGCTGTCGTACACTGCCCCAGCAATGTATGCGGCTGCCTGCTGACTGTAACCAGAATATTTATCCTGAATAAACTTGCTAAAAATAAAGGGGGGGGAGAAATTACATAATTAATATTCTTGATCTGGTTATTTTGACAGAAAGTAAGTCTGAGCACAAACATATGGACAGGAAGGGTTTTAATGAAAAGACTTGTAAACAAGTTTGAGTCCACCTGGTTTGTAGTGCCAAGCCTTTGTTGTTCTATTTTCTTTTTAATTGGCACACACCACAGAAAAGCTGGTAGCTTAAATAGCCACTTTCAAGATGCTTCTGCAAGTGCAGAGTAAAACTGCAGGTTAAAGTTGGGCATATGTTCAATTACATCAGCAGAGCTCAGAAGCAGCAATTTGCCTTCATCTGTCCAAAACATATGGATGGATTTTTTACATTCTCTTTGAAGAGGCAGAAGCCATTATCAGACCAAGGGTGAGAATGCCAAGGGGCACGAAAAACATTTTAAAATAATCCAGCAGCAAAGATCAGCATTTAAATTGAACACCTGTGTTTTAGAAGTAGTAGGAATTCCCCCTTGGCATCTTTAAGGAGACTTCTGGTTAAAGCAGAAAACCTACAAACCAAGTTTTGTTTTCACTGTCGGAAGTCAGCCCTTCACCTTTGTTAGGGACACGCATTAAAACTTACTCAAATTTTTCACAGAATTTACAGTCATATGGTCATGACAGCTTAGAAAGACTAGTTTGTTTACAGATCGTGTAGCTACTTAAACATGGTTTAGCTCCTTGCAGGGATACTTAACATTAGTAATAATGAGCTTTTATAGCCGGTGCTGTCAGCAAAGTATGAAACAAGACACTGTTCCCTGAAGATTTACTGCAGCAGAATTCACCAGAGAGCAGTGGTCCTGAGACCATTATTTTTCTGACTGGAAGCAGCATAGCATTTTTTGCCAGAAAAGACGTGTAGAACATAACTCTTGGTGCCTGAACCTTTGCTCTACAGGGAGCAAAAAAAAAATTTTGCAGGAAGGCAGAACTGCAGAAATGAGGATTCTGTGTGATCAACAGACACTGTTTTTGGTTAAAATGAGAGGGCAACTGATAGCCCATGTCATCAAGGCCTTGATGATCCTTTCCATCTTGAACGTCTTTATTTTACTAATAAGAGGTCACTTGTACATTTGTTATGACAATGTTCATGACAGTTCTTCACTCCTGATTTCACAGTGGCTTACGACACATCACTAAGGAAATACTACCATAATAATGTTATTTTTTTTACTGCAGGCCTTTGCTAATATAAAAGTTCATACTGATGACAGAAGCAGCAACATCCACAAACAGGAAAAAAGCAGCAAAATGACAAGTCTGTGGCAGAGCCACTGGACGGAAGCAGGAGCCCCAATTTAGTCAGGCAGGTTGCTGCTTTATTTTAAACAAATGAAGGCATAAAAAAGGAAGTCTGCAAGCCTTGTGCTGGGATGCAGAGGCTTCCTCACCTACAAATCCAGTCTGATGCAAGCTCAGCTTTCTTCCAAATGCAGCAGACAACATGCAGGAACTGCAGGACAGAATTGCCCCAGGCCCCTGAAGCTAACACCCCACCCAGCTCAAAAGATAGCCACTTTGTTGGACTATCACAAAGGTGAAATGTCTATGGGCTATTTTTTAAATAAAGTATTTCTTCCCCATCTCCCAAATCCTTCTGACCCTCCTTTGGCAATGTTCCAAGCTTTAAATACTGGATGAATCATTTCCCTTTAAGTTATTTTTGCTTTCCTTCAGAAGCCTCCCTCATCTTTGAAGGGAAAGGAAGGTCAAAGAATCCTCTCATCATTAACTAGGGGTTAAAGACATGTTTCTCTGTGTTTCATGAGTGGAAGGAATAAGCGTATTACCCCCATATTTCCAATTCAGCTAAAAATCAAGGGCTTTCAAGGCTCTGATAGGCTTGTATCAGGCACTGGCTCTACAGCCACAGAGCAATACCTGGCGTCTGCCACAAAGGGGAAGACTCCGTTGTAGAAGAACATGATGGTGAGGACCAGGAGCCAGTAGCGAAGGGGAAGTCGCCGGATGTCCTGAATGCGCTGCAAAGATAAGATGTGCCCTCACTCACCAGGAAATAGTCTTCAGCTTCCCACTAATGTCACTTCCTGCAAGCCATTGAAGGTCACAAAAAATTTAAGAGGTAACAGCAGGTAAAAGGGAATCGAAAGGCAGCTCAGGTACTTGTAAGTGAAATTTGGCATGCGCAGACTCCAAAGCATTCCTCCTTTAACACTATTCAGTAAAGAAAACAAAAAAAGCTTCCTTCTTATTTTTATAAAGGTTATGGCTGCAAGAAACTATTCTGAGCAGCCTCTATGAAGAGCCTACTGCAAAACCTTGAGTGAAACAGTGGAAAGATACAGTATATACAGGAGTCACAACACAGATACAGAAACCAGTAAGAATACTGTCATGAGAAGGAAGCTGTCTAATAGATTCAAGTGCCATTGTCCTGGTTTCGGCTGGGACAGAGTTAATTTTCCTCCCAGTAGCCGGCGTAGCGCTGTCTTTTGGGTTTAGTAATGTCGGTAACACAGCGACGTTTTGGCTGTTGCTACGTAGCGCTTATCCTCAGCCGAGGACTTTTCCGCTCCCCGCGCCCTGCCGTGCGGAGGTGCACAAGAAGCCGGGAGCGGGCACAGCCGGGAGGGTGTTCCGTACCCTACGACGTCACGCTCAGCGCAAACCGGGGGAGCCGGTGGAGGAGTGGCGGGGGCCGCGGCGGGGCCGCGCGGGGGCGGGGCACCCG